ATACCTAAAACACAACTTAGATATCTTTAATTATTAATAATTATTAGTAATTAATAATTCATTTTATATTTGGAAAGACACGCTAAACCACCCAGTATATGCTCATAACACACTAAACGTTCTTATTGTTTCTAGAATGGTGTCGTCATTTCATGGAGTGGATGGAAAGATGACGTCTCTGGGATAGAAGAATTCGACATTGACGTATACCTGACCAGAAAGAACAATAATGAACTAATAGAGAGTCATCCAGCTAAGAAGATATTAACAGTAAAACCAGGTGACCCATTTCCCAGTTACACACCCGATATACCAGGAACATATTCCATCGTACTGACCGTGGTGGACAATACTGGCCACGGTGGCTCTAGTGGTAATGTAGAGACAGCCAGACGACTGTTTGTCTTTGATCCTAACTCTACTATAGATGTAGTCCAACATAAGCCATTACGACCAGAATCAGCAGCAGAGAACTCAAGTTACATCTGGCAACTTAACTTGCAAGATTTAAGTGGACGAGGTCAACATGTAGTATTTAATTGGACCGATAGGTTTATCAATCGATACCATCACGTGAATAACATCCTCGGAGCAGTAAGTGACTACCAGGAGAGAGTCGTTCAACCAAAATACGATGATATGGAAGGTGGACGAACGCGCCTTGCAATTCCAAACGCTAATGCAATTGTGAGGTTTGATTACACGTACCTTAAAGACCACAGTGGAGGGAAAACATTAACTGTAATGCCCGATGGCAGGTGGACTCCTACAGATAATGTTTTGGATCAAAGTCAAATATTGGACATACCAAGAGAAGATGGAGACACAGTCAGATTTTGGGTAAAAGCGGTTGATGTGATGGGAACAGAAGTTATAGATCACCTTTATCTTCATTTTGACTCCACGCCACCGATCATAGACGATATCTGGTTGGTCAATAATGAAAGGGAACAACTTGCAGTTCATAGCGTCAGGGATCTATTTGAGATGCGGTAAGTTCGGATTTTAACTTTGAGTAATCACTTGATAAAACACAGTTTGAGAGAGTATAACTTGTCATCGAGATATCACTGTGAAGAAAACATTTGGTTTTATTATCTTTTTACCTGCTTTTTGTTTTCTTTATCCCTTTAGATTTAGGTTCATAGCGTTTGATATCCATAGTGGGCTGTACACTGTTCATTGGAAGCTCTTTGACAATTATACAGACAATGAGCTGATCCTCGGTAATGCAAACACACATGTTATAAAGATGGAAAATAACACGCTAGAAACGGAGAGTTATTGTACACCGGTCGGTCAATGCTACGGGATACAGTATGATATAAACCCAGACCGTACAGACTTTCCTAAACCTGGCGGAACACACGATCACGACTACTTCCTTCAACTTACAGTCACAAACATTGCCCAACTAGTCACAACCCGCATCGTAAAAGTGAGTTAAAGTATACAACATTCGTTGATTTTTACTAGCACGTCCTGTCTTTTTATCCTTGTTTCTATATGCTTCACATTTTCATCAGATTACAATTGACACATCTCCACCCCACCCTGGTGTTGTCCACGACGGAAGAGCAGGTACTCCCGAAGTTGATTTCCAACAAGATTATACCATTCATGCACACTGGTCTCAGTTTTACGACAGAGAAAGTGGGGTCATGCTCTATAGATACGCTTTTGGTAATAGCTGCATTGAGAAAGACGAATTTACATCAACAAATTCATCTCGGGTAACTATAGAGTAGAGAGTTTTTCGAATAATTACTTTAATGTACAGGGTGATTCAAAATTTACCTAACATGATATTTTTGATGCTAATTTGTCACACAAATTTGAGATAAAACATACGAAAAAATGAAATTTATACCACGACTTATTTGGGATAATCCGGGCACACTTTTGGGTCAACATGTGTTCACTAAATTTTAATTTAAAATATAAGTATCATTGATACATCATTGTTATGACGACAAAACTAAATAATCCCACTTATATAAAATAGTGTCTTATTGAATTAAAGATTATTTCAAATTTAGGTTAGGGAAACGATTTTTACGGAGGTCAGTGACACGATGACTAAAGCAGGGACATATTATTGCACTGTTGTTGCCTTCAACGGAGCAATGGAGCCGTCTGATCCCATATGTTCAGATGGTGTTACAATAGATGTTACACCTCCAACAGTACATTCTATTATTGTTGATCACATACATACCACTCCAGGGATTGTAACTTACAGGAATTCTCTATGGCAAATAAACAAGCACGGCTTCAAACAACCATTAGGAAACGATTCAGATTGCAGGTATATTGAAAACCCGAAACCTACTTATTATTTTTTTAATTTCATTTTAGTGTCACCTGTGGTATACATGTATAGATTTTATATTATAAAAACATTTCAAAACAAGGATATTAAATCAAAGCATTAATCACGTGTGTCATAATATCCCTTAAAATCTTTGTTATCCAAAAGAGTAAGCATATTTTGAATGTAGTTGTTTTCTTCCATTTATTATAGAGGACATGAGGCAGCTGATATAAGTGTATTTGCTGAAATCAAAGATTTGGATGACAATCTAGAATGCACTAATGCCTTTATAAACCGTTTTTATCTGACACAAGAGAGACAGGTCAGTGTAAAATATTGATGCATCTAATACACAATACGCTTTATAAGTAAGTAAACGTAACGCCTTTCAACTAGCGTGACATGCCAGATTTTCCATTCTCACCATCTGATTTCTAGGTCTCTAGAGGTCTTTGCAACCTTTCAGCAATGATGTTGTGGATTCACCTTTTTTACATCTAATACTTGGCCCATGTAAAGTATACATTGGCGTCGGAAGAGGGGGGGGGGGCGTTGGGGGCGATAGCCCCCTCCCCTTTCCCAGATTTTTTTTAGATTTGAAACTGAGCCTATAATTGAAAGCTCTAGACCTAATTTAAGTAAAAGTGTTATAATGACAGACATGATACTATGTCAGTAGCTTGTCTACATCAAGCATAAAATATATATTTTCTCATATTACATTTAATTCTATACAATGTATAGTTTCTCAGGTGTCCATACAGTATGTACCGTAAGTACTTTGAAAAATAAGTGCAAAATGTATATTTTGAAAATTTTCTGGGAGGCCCAATCCCCCTAGATTCACACACGACCCATCCATACCCAAAAGTCGCCCTCTCTATTAGCAAATCCTTCTGGTATAGCAGGCTACACTTCGCATGTTTCTTATTTTTTAGTTAACAGTTAACTGGACAGGGTTTGATACGGAGTCTGAGATATTTGACTTTGAGCTAGGAATGAGCAGCACAAGTTCATTACTTGCCCCAGATATAATGCCGTTCAGATCAACAAACCAGAGACCAACTTTAAACTTGTACCATCCGCCATTGTCTGAGGGCCAGCTTATGTATGTCATCGTAAAAGCAACTAACAGGGCTAAGGCTGCTACGTCAAAGGTAAATGAATTCAATGCAAAATTGATACGAACATTCGTTTGATCCAAGACTCCGTTTTTCAAAACGTATTCATCGACCGGAGTATTGTTCATTGAATCGATCCAAAGTAAAAACAATATTATCGTATATTTAGGCCTTTGGACCATTGGTTATTGATATCACCGGTCCAATATTTGATAGTGACGTTACTATAGATGAGGAAGGGAACTATTTAGTAATATATTGGGATTCGTCTAAAGTGTACGATGCTGAAGATGACGAGCAATTACACTATGAAGTTGCTATAGGTATTGAATAATTAAACTAGTATTAAGTTTTTAAAGGTTGCTATTATGTGATGTAGAAGTTGCTAAAGAGGTTTCAATCATTAGATGAAGTATATAAAACCATAAATATATCCTGATCTTCTAGGCTCCCTTCACTAAAATCCAATTTGAAAAACAAGACATCCTATTTTAGGAAAAAACGAGTACCACACAGACATACTTAACTTTGGTCCGGTTATGTCGGGAGTTACTTGTAATGCCACAAACGATAACTGTTCAGTGGTTCTTCTCAGTCAGTTGGACATTCACCCTGCACATCCTCAGACATTTATAGCTTACATAAAAGTGACAAATGCAGCTGGTTTGTCAACAATTGTCTCCTCAGATCCATACGTTCACTATAACACATTGCCCTATGTTGGAATTGTAAAGGATATCTTGCCAGAGGACGAAATAGAAAACGAGGTACAGGTGATATATGTGTCACCCATTGTCTATATATTTCAACTATTATTGACATCATTTACATTACTTTCATGGTTTTAATTTCACAATACCAAGATACGCCTGGAAAATACACAAACACTTTACTGTATTGAAAATGTTTTAAAAGGGATTCATCTATTTTTATATGAGGTTTCATATATTTACACAGACAAATGTGTTTTGGGTCTGTCTTCCATTGCAGATAATGCTTGACTACGACATAGATTATCAGCTGTCATCTACATCAATCAGAGCGAAATGGAGTGGATTTACGCATCCTCATCTCTCTGTCATGTATAAGATGGGCATAGGCACACATAAAGGACATGATGATGTCATGGCATTCGTAGATGTGAACGATACTCAATATGAAGCAGCAAAGTTGAACTTGGAAACGTATATGGTATGAGAATATTACGCATTTAAGCATAAATAAATAATGTTAGTCTTCAAGTTGTGTTTTAAAATTGTCTTAGTTAATTATACATTATATAAGATCGAAAATAAGGCGAGGCAAAATTAATAGTTGGGCAAATGTATCCTAAAGGAGGTGTATTACTTGTTTTTGATCTTATTTTCAAAGTTTGGAACGTCTGAAAAGTTTTACTTCTGTAAAACTTTGATGAGGCAGTTGCCCTGCCATCCCAGTGTCCATGATAATATCAAATTTTGATTTATTTGATATACTGTAGACATATTACACCACTGTGATTGCGCAGTCACTCACTGGGTCGGTGAATGCATCATCAGATGGCGTAACAATTGTGGCGTCGAATCAAAGTATCACTATGGATATCTTTGATGGACTGGGATGTACTGGCACAAAGAATCGCACTGAAGATAATGTATGCATTTATACATAAGTTACTTATTCCAGTCTAATGCAAACCTGTTTTATACGTGGAATTTACATTTATGAAAGTAACGTTTCAATCAGATTCTCCCAACGCATATAATTTAATTAATTTGTATAAAAACTATTTAAAATGTAGAATACGAGTAGGCTACATTTTTGTACATATATCTCCAGTGGAAAATAAGTTCCAAGTGCTTCCAAATAGCAGGAATTAAATCTGTAAGTTGATGGTATTTTTTACAGTTCCCATGCAAGGATGATATTATGTTCCAAGCCAGCCTCACAGACATATCAGCTCATTGGACGATTCCGAAGACCCATTTACCTTACATCACCCATGGCTTTTACAGAATAGAGCGATATGCTGAAGGTGGGGATTAAAGCAAATTGTAGTTGCACCAAGTTCAAACACGTCTGCATAGCAGGTTTCCACCTAGTCCTTGGGCATATATCTGTTTGCACCAAGTTCATAAACAACCTTTGTGAACTATATATGAGACAGTTTTCAATTTTTGCAATGGTTCTCCATGGTTACCTTGAAAATACTACTTACACATTTTGCTTGTTATTTTAGATACAATGATATGGATACCTGAGTGCCCGTTTATTGAAGTCAGGCCGATAGGGAGCAACATAACTATGACCAACTTAGAAATGACACCAGGCCTATCATATAAAACAGTTGTAAAGTTATGTACTCCGGCATCATGCTTTCTTCCTCTGTCCACAAATGGGGTAACAATTCAAGTCGAATCGCCAATACCTGGCGCAATGAATATTACCGGGTATGATGGCGAGGCAACATTCACAGTTATGTTTGACGAATATGTCTCCAATTTGCAAACAAAGCACGTGACAATTGAATTTTACGAATGGACGTTCTCATTGGACAGTTCAGCAAATGGTATAGCCAAGCCATGGAAGGAAGTGCACGGTATTTATGAAAACTGCCACGTATCGTTTACAGTGGAGAACAATCTTTCAAATGCTACTGTTGCTACAAAGTGCTGGCACGTATGTGTTCGCGGATGGAATTTTGCGGGTCTCTCGTCAACAAAGTGCGCAACAATTACACCATGTGATGACATAAATACAAATAAGAAACATGGAATGGTTATTGTTGATGTTAAAGGTAAATGTAAAATTGATATTACTTTAAACATTTTTCTGATTTTTGAAATAGAAATATGATGAAACACTAGTCTCAAATTACAATATCCCCGTTGTCATCCATTCTGTTTAAGGACCTATAATTTGGAACAAAAACCAGCGATTGGAAGAGAATGATGCTGACTATACCTCTAGCAGAAACACTATATCAGCAGTGTGGCCATCTCTACGTCATGGAAAGTACAGCTGGGTAGTTATTGAATCATCAACAGGATCAATTGACGGGAGAGCTATTCCCAATAACTTATGTGACATACACGATGCTATTTCTTGTGGTGAAACTGAGGACGAATGCATAAATGCTAACAACCTTACATTACATCACGGGACGAGTTACTTCGTTTGCATATTTGCAAATGATACTGTAATATATCACGAACGGTTTGAAGAACATCATCCGGAAATTAAGGCTTGTAGTGATGGTGTCAAGGTAGATTGGACTCCACCTGATCCTGGGAGTGTATATATACATTCACAAACACACCCACTTGACAGGGAAACATACCAGGTACACAGTTACTTTCCTCAAATATTAACACAATGTGTCACTTCTATGTAGTAAGTTTTTGCTAACTTACTTTACTTTCTAGTTTAGAATACTTTTTTCTCCATTTTTGTTTTCCTTTTAAGACCCCATTGTACTTGCATATTCTTTTTATGACCATATACCAAAGGAAAAAATATGTATTCATCTTTTTGGAGAATTCAACTGATGTGTCATTTCCATATTTTGTAGACATCATCAAGTCAAATAGCTGTATCCTGGAGCCCATTCATAGACATAGATGACGTAGGATCTTCCTCAAATGACGAGCATCCTGGGATCAACTACTATCAGTTTGCAGTTGGTCGGTATTTTCCGTATTGTTGAATAATTAAAATAATTATGTTAAGATGTTGCAAGTGGCCATATATCTTATTTTTACTAATTATTTATCAAGCTTTACACAGTACAGTGGCACTATCATAATGATACGATGCATCTATAGTTAATAATACCGCACCAAGTAGTGAGGAGTATAATGGTTCAGTTCAGTTCAATTAAAGGAGTGGAGTACTCGTGCGTTTGAGAGAAGAAAATATAAAACTCATTATTTATAACCCTAAAACACCCAAATTACAATACAAATATCAATCATTGCATTTGTATTTGCATTTTTTAGCATTTTTTAACATTCTGACATCTAGTTTAAAGGTGCATACATATCCAGTTAAACACATGTTACACTTTCTGACATGCAAGTTAAATGTACATCTATACCCAGTAAAATCATGTTACACTTTCTGACATGCAGTTAAATGTACATCTATACCCAGCAAAATCATGTTACACTTTCTGACATGCAAGATAAATGTACATCTATACCCAGTAAAATCATGTTACACATTCGGACATGCAGGTTAAATTTTCATCTACAAAGTACAGGGTGTTCCATATGTTTCAGGAATGATGCTGTGTTTTATTGGTTTTCTTTTCCTTCCAACTGAATTTTTGACACAATGTGTCTAAACATGATTTGAATAAGTTGGGAAAGTTTCATATCGTGAAGTTTAGTAGTCTTAATTATATGGTTTCTATATTAACCTAGGGGTAGGATAGGTGGAGCAGGTGTAACAACGCGCAAAATATATGAAATATTTGTAAAAATAGTTTTTTTGTACGAAGTGTGACTAAGTATTAGGTTGTCAGAGTTGGATCAAACTTGTCAGTAATTAAACAAAAATGAAGGTTGATTCCAAGAAAGTAAAAAATGTCATCACCCTTGATCCTTTTGGGATGAGATTGCAAATTCCTTCTTTGAGATGTCAGAAGAAACTTTTGAATTTGGAGAACTAACTGAATCAATGAAATTAGCAATTTTGACTTTACTTTTCAAAAAGGGTGATAGAGAACTTTTGCGAAACTATAGACCCATAAGTTTGAGTAATTACGATTATAAAATTATTGCTTTTGTAATTGCAAATCGGTTGCAAGGGGTGATTTCAAAACCAGTTGGGAATAATCAAACATCTTATATTGAGGGAAGATTTATAGGAAATAATGCAAGATTTTTAGTTGATTTGATTGAATATACTGAAAACAAGAATAAAGAAGGTGTTCTAATATGTATTGACTTCAAAAAGGCTTTTGATAGTTTAAATTGGGACTTTATGTTTGAAACATTGCAGAAACTGAACTTTGGACCAAAATTCATAAATATGATAAAAACTTTATATGTCGATCCAAAATTAGTTATAAAAAATAATGGTAATTTATCTAGAGAAGTTGAAATACACAAGGGAGTCCGACAAGGATGCCCAGCATCAGCTTTAATTTTTACGTTATGTGTAGAGTTTTTAAGCAAAGGTATAAATCAAAATGAAAATATAAAAGGAATTAAAATAAATGAAAGAGAAATCAAGATCATACAACATGCTGATGATACAACATTAACTTTAGGTAATAAAGATTCAATACTCCATGCAGTTAAAACAATTGAAGCATTTTCAAAAGTATCAGGACTTCAACTTAACCTGGGTAAAACATCTGGTATTTGGCTGGGAACATATAAAAACAATGAAGTTAAATTTAAAGACATTAATTTTACTAATGAACCAATAAAATGTCTAGGAATCTACATAGGACACAATAAAAAAGAATGTGAGAAATTAAATTGGGATCCAAAGATTTTCGACTTTGAAAAATTGTTTGAGTCATGGAAAAAAAGAAAACTGACCTTATTCGGAAAAGCCATAATCATTAATAGTTTAGGTATATCAAAATTTGTATATAATTTTACAGTCTTAAATGTACCAGCTAAAATAGTTAAGAAAATAAATTCAATTCTATATGGTTTTCTGTGGAAAAAGGAAAGTGTTAAAAGGAAAACAGTAATTGGGGACATATTAAATGGAGGGCTTAACATTGTAGATGTTCAATCCAAAATCGATGCATTAAAGGCATCTTGGATTCCAAGGCTATTATTCTCAAAAACCGCATGGAAAAATATCCCTGAAGAGTATATCAGAGACATGGGTTTTGAAATAAAAGATATCATAAAAACAAACTCAGTTGAACATTTTGATTTTTTAAGAAACTCTCAATTTTATAAGGAAATATTTTCATGTTTCAATAAATGCAAAGATAAGATTGAATTATCAAAACACTCATTTGGTGACATTGTTTGGTTAAACAACAATTTTAAATGGAAAAAAAGATATCCTTTTCTATAAAAACTGGATTAAGTCAGGATTTATATATCTGAAAGATTTTTTTGATGATAAAGGGATTTTTATTAGTGAAAAGTATGTTTTTGACAAGTTGAATGACAAAAGAAATTGGATTAAAGAATATATGATAATTAGAAGTACTATCAAAATGGCAATGAAAAATATACAGACAAATAGAGCTCAATTCACTAATATATTTTATAAATGTGATTTTATAGTAAATGGAAAATATGAAAAATTATAAGGAAAAAAGTCAAAGTTTTTCTACAATATATTAAGAAATAAACAGTTCGAGAGATCAAATTTAGAAAATGTTTGGAGTACAATGTTCAATTTTGAAAATACAAATAATTATTTCAAAATCATATACAGGCAAAAAATAAAAGAAATGCCATGTAAAAAAATTTCTGATTTTAATTTTAAATTCTTCATAATTGTTTATACTGTGGATACATGATTAGTAAATGGAACAGAAATATAAGTTCAACCTGCATTTTTTGTAATGAAAATCACACTGCGAAACATCTTATTTTTGATTGCCAGAAGGTTAGAAATATTTGGGAAGATGTTGGAGATATTTTGAATTTAAATGTTCAATGGAAACACATTGTTGTTGGTTTTAACATAATAGACAGAAAAACTAGAAACAGAAATATTATTTTAAGTATTATTGCAAATTCAATATATAAAAAATGGACAAACCTTAATGAAAAGCCAGATGTCTTGAGACAAATTAATTTTAGACAGCAAGTTTTATCAGACCTTTTATCCTACAACAGTGTATTTCTACTAAATAAATTCAATATAGATTTTGATATGTTAAAAAGAATTTGTAATATTTTATAAGAAGTAAGTTTTTGTAATACTTTATAAGAAGTTCAGTGTTTTTCTGTACTTGTATTGTATATATATTTTTAATGTATTATATGTTCATATGTTATATTTTTGGGAATAAAAATTTTAATAAAAAAAGAAGAAAAAATCACCCTTGATCACATCACAATTTAAATACCTGTCATGTCATGAGTCACAAAGGAGAATAAACACAGGTCATTTTGGACGAGCGGCCATCTTGAAAAGTGAAAAAGTCATTAGCAAAGGAAAACCTTCGACTTAGGCAACACATAACAATCTGTGACAAGCCATGACATATGTGAATAACAATTTTCTGCAGCAGACACAATTAAACTCCTGACAAATGCACATGGGGACTTAATGATGGTAACCTCTAGAGTCTATGAGTGGTACAAGCGGTTCAAATCTGGAAGGGAAACTGAGACCGATTATCCAAAATGTGGACATCTGAGAACAGTGAGAGCACTAACTAATGCAGAGGGGATAGATGCTGAAATAATGATGATGGCTAATAAAGGGTGTGATAACATTTTTAATTTCCAGGAATCCACCTTTATTCTTTTAAATTCCAACAAGTTTGATGAGACTATGACAAATAAATACTTTGAACACTTTATACAAAAACTACTATTTTTACAAAAGTGTCATGTTTTGCGCGTTGTTACACCTGCTCCACATACCCTACCACTAGGTTACTACAGCAACCATATTTTTCAGTCTACTGAGTTTCATGATATGAAACTTTTTCAACTTATTCACAACATATTTGGACACATTTTGTCAAAAAGTCAGCTAGATTGAAAAGAAAACCAATAAAATACAGCATCATTCCTGAAACATATGGAACACTCTGTATAACTCAATACATGTTACACATTCTAACATGCAGATTAAACATCATACTTCTATCAAATCTGTAATAAGTCTTATTGTTTGATCCAAAATGATTCAAGGTGGGCACAAGGATGGAGTAGATGTGGTGGACTTTACTACCATAGGAATAGGGAAACGTCATACAATAACAGGATTGAATCTCACAAATGGTCAGGAGTACTTCGTTACAATAAAAGGTAAATAATGCCTTACACTGTTCGATTTATTTTATCATATCAGCTAGCGCTGGTCATTGTTCTTAACTGTATAACTGCACATTATAACCATTCCTGGATAATATTGAGGATAACTTTAAGGATATGACCTAAATACAGGGTGGGCCAAACCCCCCCCCCCCCCCTAGCCATTATTCCTGATAAATATTCATTTTTTAACATGTACACCAACAATGAAATATCATTTTAAAGATAATTTAATTTGCAACAAAATGATATATAATAGGACAATTTTTAACAACCCTGGATCGAGATATAACTATTTATGTGACATGGGGGTCAAAAAACACCTTTTCAATTTTCATCGATTTTGCGAAGAATAGCCTATTTCTACCAAATTTTACTGTTCAGTTAAAAATTGTAACATTGTCATGAGTCTTCTATAATTGGATAAAATATATTGTTTTGATTCAGTTTTTGAACCATACATGCTCAATAAACATGTGTATGCTTATAAAACAAATTAATTTCTTCTTAAGTCTGTCCAAATATGGCTCCATAGACCCACCTCCCGGACCCATCCTCTGATCGGATTATTCGCAATGCGAAAGCCATTGGTATAATTGATGGATCTCTGCGGAAGTACCATCAAACTCCTAATTATTCATTCTTTCAGTTTGACTACATCCCTGATAGGTGAGTAATCTTCATAGACCAACTGTTCTAAATGCCCCAAGTACTATACATGTAATCAACAGGATAGACTCTACAATCAGTAAGCAAGAATAGGGACATTTGCGATAAAAGGCTACTCAAATCGAGATGACATTTTTCTGAAAGGGTAGTGGTGTCCACTCGGTGTTTCCCAAAAAGGAAAGACCCCACAGGCCCTGTTTTTGTTGAACCGGGAGCGAAAGTATACTCTGAATGTTTATGACATGAGGTGTTAAAAAAGGACTCCTCAAGGATATAAAAACATGTGAAAGAAATTTCATTTTCTGATAGTACAGTGCTCCATCACACAGGTTCATTGCTACCCTGGAGTTTTTGGAGATTCAAAATGACACCATCTCTAGCCCGGACAAATGGCTAACTGACAGTGCAGATGCCAATAATGTTGATAACCATACCCGGGGGCATCTAGAACAGTTGGTATTTAGAGATACCCAGCTTATCAGGGATGTAGAGGAACTAAAAGAAAGAATAACTAGCAGTTGAATGGTACTTCGGCATACATCCATCTATTATGCCATCAACAAATGGCATCGGCGTCTTAAGCAAATAATCTGATCAGAGGATGGGTCCGGGGGTGGGTCTATTGAGCCATATTTGGACAGACTTAAGAAGAAATTAATTTGTTTTATAAGCATACACATGTTTATTGATCATACATGGTTCAAAAACTGATTGAAAACAATATATTACAGGGTGATCACTAAGTTCTGGGAATTTATCTGTCATTTCATTACTTTTCAACCAATCTACTTGAAATTTTCAAGGTAAATGGATAATATTGTTTTGGGCTGGATAAAACAGTTTCATTGTCATATGATGTAACGATGGATAATTATTGTTACTATAGCAACGTGACAAATGGCGTAGCTGGTCAAGCAAAACTTGAATTCATTTTTATTTACTTGATCCAAATGTATGGTTAATTAATATTTATTTGGTGGACAAATTTCTGTGATTTTTATTTTTTCACATTTTTCTCACTTTAGTTTTTAAAGTAACATCTGTATTGTGATATAAGAGTCCACTTTGCTCAATTTTCTTATCATTGGTCAGACTCTCAAAGGCCCAATCATGACTCAAAATAGCGGGAAGTTATCTTCCATTATGACTATGCTTCTTCCCATTCCTCAAATTGTCCATACTAGTCTTGAAGAATTAGGGTTCACACAAGTTGTTCATGCCCCATATTCACCATATAATGTTTCCCCAGATGAACCACCATTAGGTTCACTAAATTTGACTGTTGAAGCATCATATGAGAGATCATCATAAGTTTGGTTCCAATGAGGGAATGATCTCAACAGCTTGAGCAAATTTTCAAGGGATACCAAGGGGAGGACTGGAAAGCAACTTTATGGACTAGGTTTGACAACAATGCATGGGCGTCCAGGCCTATGGAAATCATTATAAATGAAATGATCCTTCCAGCAATGAAGAATACTTCTGAATAAATGACTTCAAGAGTACTGTTCTGCCTCTAGTACAATAAGTTTGAACCAACCATCTAGGCAAAATGAATATGTTTTAGTAGGATATTTCCAAATTAACGTCAGTTAAAATTTGCTGACCCGCTGACCACTTTTACTTTTTTTATAATTACTATAAAATAAATTGTAAAAGTGATATGTATATGAAACATTGTCTGTCAATTCAGAATTATACAATGTACATTTGCTGGAAGTTTCAACTGAATTGGTTGAAAAATATTGAAATGACAGACAACTTCCCAGAACTTAGTGATCACCCTGTATATCCAATTATGAGACAATGTTGTAATTTTAACTGAACAGTAAAATTTGGTAGGCTATTCTTCGCAAAATTGATGAAAATTAAAAAGGTGTTTTTTGACCCCCATGTCACATAATTGGTTATATTTCTATATGGGGTTGTTGAAGATGGTGCTATTATATATCATTGTGTTGCAAATTAAATTACCTTTAAAATGATATATCATTGTTGGTGTACATGTTAAAAAATAAATATTTATCAGGAATAATGGCTAGGGGGTGGTTTTTTTGGCCCACCCTGTATATTCTACTGTGATATATAACTTATGAATATGGACTGTTGAAGATCACAATCCTTCTACTCGCATTTAGCCACGAACTTCGTTGGATTATCGACCCAAGTCTGTAGTTCTCCAGTCATTGTGGATACAACCCCACCACAACTAACACAAATGACTCATGTGCGAGTGAGGTCTCCAGTGGTACCAACAAACTTAGAAATATATGCAGAGAAAGTATTTTTCATCATTTTTTGAAACAGTGGTAAAAGCTAAAAATGTAATCTTTCATCACGTTTGAGACCTTTATTGTTTGAAATTGTTATGTAACCACTTTTGTGAATGGCGTTCAATGATATTCAAATCTTCTTTTTCCACGAGAGATAGCTTATATATTTTAGTTCTGTGTGCTTTTATTCCAGATGGTTAGGGGTATTTGAGGATAAAGAGAGTGGAATTATTCATTACACTTGGTCTGTTGGATCAGAACCGGGCTTTTCAGATATCAGTGGACCATATCAGACAAAATATACATCAACTACGTCCAACATAGCTAACCTCGAACTTTTAGATGGGCATGTGTACTACGTCACTGTCAAAGTACGTCATTTTGAGTTAGCTCTATTCTGAATAGTGAAAGTTCATCAAGGGATTCAAGAATACACTCTTTCAAAAATAATCTGACGGATTGATTCCTGGAAAATGATGCATTGAAGATATAATCAAAATAGTAATACAGTGATGAAGTAATATAAAATATATCATCACTTTAGACAATAATGTAAATGATAATGATGTTTTCATTGGCTTTATTGTAGGCATACAACAGGGCTGGCTTACATACAACTGCGAGTTCGCATGCGTTCACAGTGGATGCGTCCCCTCCTGTTGTTGGCCATATATATGACGGCACAATTGAAAATACCGATAACTATCATAGAGATGTTGACTATCAAACTGACTCATCTAGATTGTGCTCCCACTGGGTAGGATTTGCAGACCCGCACACAGAGGTCATCGAACACCTCTGGAAATCAGGAACATGTCCTGGCTGTGATGACGTCATACAAGAACACAACGTTGGACTGAAATCAGGTAAGGCAGGTCTTTGATAAGCATGCATTCTTGAATCAGCAGAGACAAAAGAGAAACAAACTTAGTTGTTTGCCGTGTATCATTTTTATTTTAGAGGCATGCATGGATTCACTAAAACTTTCACAGGGGAAAATATATTTTTCCACAATAACTGCGTGTAACCAAGCGGGTCTATGTAGTGCACAGTCTGGTGATGGCGTGATGGTAGATATCTCCCCACCTGTCACTGGGGTAGTAGAGGATGGGACTATGCCTGAAGATATCCAGTTTCAAGCATCGAGGTATATTTCATGCAACGCATTTGGTATGAGAAATAATGAAACATTTACGTCAATCATTTTATTTAAATGCTAAAGATTAACACACTCTGAATTTTGATATTTTAGAGATATACTCTCTGCCCATTGGGTTGGTTTTCATGATGCTCATAGTGGACTCTCTAAGTATGAAATGCGTGCTGGTACTCAAGTTGGATCAGATGACATCATTCCTCCAAAGACAATGCACCTTACTGAATCCATATTTGTACCTTTAGACACACCTTTGCCAGTTAACTCGACCATATACATCACAATAAGGGCATATAACTTTGCAGGTAATTCAAGATTAGTTTAAAAAATATTCCTGTGGATTCACTTGTAAAAGATGTGTGAACATTTTAAATAAAGATTTAGTCGTAATTTTTAAACCATAGTATGTACATTGTAGGTTTGTATGCCGAATCAACAAGTAATGGATTCACGGTAGATACAACACCACCATCTGTCGTTCAACCAGCTTCGGTAGATTTCAACCATGGCTCGATAGAAGACAATACGCAGGTACATAAATTTTAAAAGGGAGCATGGGAAACAGGACGGGGGATATAGGACCCCGATAAAACCAAATCGCCCAATATCTCCGGCGGATCTAGATTTACTTCTTCCTGGACATAAGCTAATCTGAAACTATTTTTCTTTGGCTGTCTTAATACTTATCATATTTGATGTCAATGTTTACATAAATTAATTCAGGTATGGAGGAGTTCGTTGACAACTAGATGGCTGTTTGAAGATAACGAGTCTGGAATTGAACGTCAATATGTCAGTGTTTATGCACATATTGATGGGGACTTGGGTGTTCCAACAATCGAGGTATTCAGTTTATTTTGATTTAGATAATTATCCCATCAGTTTTGAATTGGACGATGTATAAATTGAATCTTTTAAATATGTATTTTCCTAAAAATAAAAACAAGTCTTTATTTCCAAGCAAAATCTATGGTTTACAGTAAAAAAAACTTTGTTATGACAAAAGTTAATTAAATACTACTAATTGCATCATCTTTTTAGATAGGCACTGGTTCCCATTACACATTCAGCAACCTTACACTCAACGATGGAACGGAATATTTTGCTTCAATTGTTGCATGCAATAAGGCACAGCTATGCTCTGATAGTTCGTCAGAAACGTTGCTGGTATGCTGTTTCTTATCACATACATTCGCATGAGGCATTTGACTTCGAATATTACTTAATTTCTTTCCCATTAGCATAATCATTAGACACAATCAAGAACATTTCAAATATTATTCCTCTGACATTTGTTTTCTCTATTCAATAGTTCGATGCATCAAGACCATGTATCGGAACCTTTGCTAGTTGGACAAACCATGCTGCGGAAGTTGGCAGATATAAAGATGGATTCATGACTTGGAATGGAGCTGATATTTCGCTACATTGGCTTGGGTTTGGAGACCATCACTCTGGAATATCACATTACTTAGTTACACTTGGGGAAACGTTTGCTGGTCATGAATTGACACCAGTGTGTACCAAACTTTTGTATTAATGTTAAATCATACAATCTTAATTTGCATTGCACATTTGAAGGAAACTTCAGAATTCGGTCTACAGAGTTTGCATGTCTTAGATTGTAGTTAAACAGAGGTCAAAGACGGGAAATCAACATAGCTTCATAAAGTTTGCGTTTGTGGTTATTTATGTAACATCAACCAGCACGACCAATAACATAATAGTATACTAATGTAATATGTTATATCACACAATCTTGAATTTGATTTGATTTCATTTGGAAAAAACTTCAGAATTCCATCTTCAGAGTTAGCATGCCATATATTTCAGTTATTCGGGGGTCACAGACAGGATACAACAAACACAATTTTGAAAATTGATTATTTTACCTAAATACCTTTATTTGTTGATTGTCTAATAGGATCAACCAATAGTAATAGACCACAGTAAGACAGGACCAGTAAACCATGAAGAAGGTGTTATACAAACTGCAACTATAACTCTAAGTCGACCGATAGATGATAGTAATAAACTATATGTCAAAATGTGGGCAGTTAATGGGGTAAATATAGCATAGATATATGTATTACAAATAGGTTTACCCACTGAATGTTGACAGACAAGTTAACATTTCAGCATTTATTGTTTTATTGGGATTTTTTTCATTTTTGTATCACGAATGCCATTTTGTATTTGTTTAATTGTATATGTTTTCACCATTTAGTTTTTAGCTTGTTGAATGTTGTATGTTTATTTTTTGTATGAATGTTGCGTTTATTAGGAGTTATTGATTGGTATTTTCATCTAGGTTGGATTGCCGAGTTTAGTTGTCCATAACTCGTTCGATGTTGTCGAAAACTCACCAGGTAGAGGGGTTTTGGTGTTAACACGGCGCTGTGAAACACACAGTTGTGAGGGTCATTGTGTATGTGCACCCCATAATCAACAGTGTGACTTAGACATCAACAAGACTTGCACACAAGCAAAACACGGTACGTGGATGGGAAATACCAAATTTTCAACTATCGCATGCATTTTCTGAGAGAGATTGTGTATGCCTCATTAATTAATTAAGTACGGATCAGAAGCATTTCCAATTATAAAACTTAGTTTGTGGAAACATTTTACATAGAATGCTTGTGTAATCTGCTTTGATTCAATATTCATATCAATTTACCTTGAACATTGAAATTACATTGACGGTATCTTCTTTTTAACAATATTTTATAAAACAGACCAATTCTTGTTGCTGTGAATTTTCTTTTTCTTGGATATACTATAGCGTTTTATACATAAATGAATTTTTAGGTGACAATTTTGTCATCCTGGTGAATGATACTCAAGCCATTGGAAGTTTTGAGAAGTCTGATAATTTACTAGAAGACATGGATTTCACACATTCGGATTGCTTGTTAGCAGCAGTGTGGACAATATCCGAACGAAATGGAAAACCACCTATTAGGTTTTAAGCATTATACTATCCTTAAAATTGAATATGGCAAAATAAAAGAGCGATGTCCTAAAAGATGTTCTATGCTTGATTTGATTTTAAGGAATAGATGAGAACATAATTGATGAAAAAATAAATATTGTCTGCTTGAACAACAATAAAGGAATACAAGTTCCAGCAATAATGGTATAGTTTGATAATAGTATCCCTGCTTTGGTCGAAGTGCAAACAGGTCGTGAATAGTTCAAAATTAGTTTGAAGACACTTGTTTGAAAACATTTGTGTTTTAGATACGAATATACAGCTGGTTTAGAAGGAGACGGTTTTGGTAGTGGTGTAGTAAATTTAGTGAATGATCGAATTTGGTTTGAGGCTGGATTTTATAACCATGCTGTCATTACTCCCACTTTAAGTATGTTTATTTTTTCTACATATTTTAAACTTTGATATCATGGAGACGAGTAAGATGGTGTTGAAGAACATTACGATAATGACTATCTTTAAGCAAACGCAAGGGATTTCTTGATTTGCTGTTATAACTTTTTCAAGAATCCCTTTGTCAGATGTGTTATAGTATGTTCCCCGTTATAGCGTCATTTTACTTCTATGATGTTTATTAAAACTTTTTCAAGAATCCCCTTGGCAGAATTGTTATATTCCCCGCTAAAGCCTTCTTTATGACACTTTTATTCTATTATACATAGTGAACTTTGGATATTCATTTCAGCACGACTTCTACAAGGCCAAAGATATATTTTCTATGTACGGGCCTGGTATGATGACGTTACGTTCACAGTTTTCCAGTCAGATGGCATTCTCATCGATATCAGCCCACCAACCGTTTCTCGTATTAGACATGTGCGTCATATTATGTCTGTTTTAACTTTTCGTACAGTATCGCATAGTATTATATGCAGATAAATGTTTTCGATTAACCTGACCAAGTCGGTTCATTAATTGGGCCTGGATTTCTCTCGTAACTGACATAATTATCAATGTGATAATGTAGCTATAATTTACAATAACCTAGCTCCTAACTCACCACTCCCCCTGCATATTGAATTTTATTTTTAAATAATACTCTATGTTCCATAAGTTGTCTCATTTCCTTTGGCTACATGCAACATGTAACAACATGCAATTGCTCATATTTACAAGGTCGAGGAAAGTGATGGTTCTTACGTTGAGTTTGATAAGGACTTTACTGGTAGTGTTGATAAACTCAGCGTCCGTTGGCCAGGTGTCTTTGCAGATGAGGAATCTGGCATTTCCCATTTTCTGTTGGGAATAGGAACTGCAGTACTAGGTATCTTAATCAATTCTGCCGTTACTCATTTCTCGGAATTCGTATTTAATTCTAATATGATTATCTTACTAAATAGTTGAAGTTTCATATTTCGCTGTATGGTTCTTCTGATATAGTATCACTCTACTATACCCAACCCCTAGAAATGCATTAGATATTCTGTTTCTCTAATTGTATTGTTTGGTATATTTTTTGCAAGTACCTTATTAACATCTAACAGTCATCCAATAAACCATTCATAAGCAGCTGACACATAAAACAAATAATATACACTGTAGTCATTAGTGATAAGCCAAATGGGTTGCTCATGAACACCAAATGCAAGGTATAGTAGAGTGAGTATATAATTTGGAAGATTAACGTTGTGCTTTGTGTTTTATCAATGTGTCTGAATTTTGATGAGACTATTCTGATGCAATCTGTGTAATTGACAATGTATTTATGTGTAAACTTCTGCATTCTGATGCAACATTTGTAATTGATGATTTACTTATAATGTGTAACAGTTCTCATTCTAATTCAGTCTGTGTAATTGACTATTTATGTCGAGCCTTTCTCATTTAGTTGATGATGCTTATAAGTTCACAAAGCAGACTGATACAAACGTCCAGTTATCTGGGATGTCTTTGACACCAGGCCAGAAGTACTACACAACAATAGTTGCAGTGTCAAACACTGGATTAGAAGCAACGAAAGTATCTGATGGGTTTACAGTTGACATAGAACCGCCTATCCCTGGAATAGTATTCGATGGCAGATGTAAGTGAATATTTGCATTTGATTACAGTATGAGTTAAGTTATTTCAATTAGTTCTTAAATTTTAAAAAATGATGAAATATTGCAGTTTTATACGACGCAGACTACACCAATGAGACAACTATACTTCATGCCCAGTGGCACGGATTCTACGACCGACACAGTGGAATAGACTACTATATCTGTTGTGTTGGAACTGCATCAGACACATCAACATGTGATGTGATTCCATTTTATGGTGTCGGGCTACAAACCAGTGCGTCGATTGCGATCCCTGGTGCATTGCAACCTGGTAATTCGCTTTTAATAGTACTATGATTTCATTATTTGATTGTATTTAGGTATTGTTTATTTTGACCTAAAACCCTGTTTTCTTTAAAACCTTTATCTGAAACTATTGTTTATTCCCTAGAAATTTTTATCAGGTAAATATTACACCAAAGTGCAGGCAGTAGATGCAGTTGGGCATCGCTCAGCTGTTATATCCTCTGATGGAATAATCGTTGACATAACGCCACCAGATATACTGCATGCCGCAACTACAAATGCAAATCTACTTCGGAATCCATCATTTGAGGAAGACGAATCAAATTTTGACATTCATTATCACCCTCTATGGTCCAATTCGACCAGTACTCCTCCCCTTCACTGGGAAACGACAACTGGTACAAAGGTTGCTATAGTGAACAGTAAAGACGGTGAAGCAAGCGATAGCAACCAAGCGTGTCTTTTACTGGGTAGTATTCAGCAAAGTGTAGCCACTCAAGTAGGGAATGTGTATGCGGTGCAATTTTCTGTGAGCCACCCTCCTAGACCACCTATAGAACATGCGCTACAAACGGGCAAAATAACTATACCTGGTACTGAGGTGACCTTTCAAATCTACCCTCGTCATGAAATGACAAAGAATAACATTGGTCATCCCAATTTGAAATCGATGCCATTGTCTCATATAGCTTGGCACATATACCTGTATACATTCGTTGCAACTGATCCTGAGTCAACACTTCGTATTGAAACGCTTGAACGGAACGCTGGACTGTTAATTGATGCAGTCAAAATTGAACCGTTAAGTCATACTTCGACAAAGGAAGGGGCTATTGTAGTAGACTACCAGCAAACAGGAGAATGGTCCTCAATACAAGCTCGTTGGCAAGTGTTAGACCTTGAAAGCCATATCGATGATATATCATGGGCGATAGGTTAGCACAAGTAACTTCATTGTTGACCATAAAATTCAAAATTATTAAATTCATTCATTGATGGAATTTTGTATATTAAACGCTCGCCATTCTATTTGAATTAGGACTTATACAAGGTGGAACCCAGCTTCAAGGGTATGTAAGTGTCGGTAGGAAGTCGTATGGAATCAACACGAAGCTTCATCTGGTCCATGGCATGCTGGTACATGTGACACTGATTGTGCGCAATAATGCAGGATTGATGAGCGTTGTATATGCTGAACCCATCGTGATTGACCGAACACCTCCTGTTATCGGAATTGTATCGCACAGCAAAGATAATGGTATGACAATGCGACACTTGGTACAAGTATATGTATAGGGTTATCATCATAGTAATCTTTCTTGATTATGCTCAAAAGAGTGTTTAGTAGGGATATTTGGGAAAATTAAGATACAGATATCATTAGAAATGTGCTTAATGCCTGGTTTAATAAAATAAAATAAAATTGTTTCCAGATACCGGGTACCAAAGTGGACAGGTTTTGATTGCCAAGTGGGACGTTGAGGATGATGAAACAACGATTAGCCATTGCACTGTTGCATTCGGTAAATTGAATATCAGTAACATTCAAATTAAATGTGATTCATGTTGTGCAAATTCTAGATAACTGAAAAGTGAACATACTAGATTAGTACGCGTTCAATCTAAGCGTACACGTTATGATTGTAGGTAATTCTCCCGAGTTAACAGATATCACAGATTTCAAAAAGATTCTGTTTTCTGGAAACCCCATGCTGTTTAACTCTACAAATCATGCCAACCTTAAACACGGTACCAAGGTTTATGCAAATGTGCGTTGTTTTAACACACTTGGTCTTTGGAGCCAGACATCGTCAACTGGAATCACGGTTATATCAGAGCCTCCAGATGTGTCACACGCCCTGATTGAATCCCTGCCAAACAAAATGTCACATTTTGCATGTAGCGATCGGATCCAGAATGACATTCATGCAATTCGATTTAAATGGGACGGATTCAAGAAGTCAACAAATCACATCGATTACTATCAGGTTCACTTCAGATTTTACATTAACACAATAAAGAAATCGAACATAACGTGCAGCTTTTTAGTATTGTTTATCGGGCTTAATTCATAAACATGTACTCAGCATACGTTTGTTGGTCTTAATTTATAAAACCTACATCAGCCTCACTGATCATTTTTTAAGGTGAACCTCGGAATGACAAATGGTGATGTGAATGGCACAATATATGAGATTGTTAACAATGGACGTCAGCAGATGACAGTGGAAGAACTGACTTTACAACAAAACAGCCATTATACGGTAATGCATATACGATTGGATACTAGAGTTTATAAAAACCCGTTTATGTTGATGTGACTGTTTCTTCACAAATGTATGGCATTTGACTGAAGATTCTTAACATGTCAACATAGTTCGTTCTAATAAGTACGTCCTATAGAAGATCTAGAAGAATGAAGAAGACTAAACAGAATAGACTAGATGCGAGTAGAAATAATCTTGCTTTACACCATTAAATATTCAAAATTCAGTCAATTTGGGGAAAATGTTATAAAATTGTTATAAAATCACAAAAAGTGAAATGTCTTTACTTGTATTGGACAGATAATATTTCCTTTTAATGGACATATATTAATTTGCATAACTATTAGATACATAAGGGTAATATGAAAAGTGAACCACTAAAACTGATAATATTTAAGTTAAAGGGAACTTTCTACTTTAAAATAGATAAGATATGTGTCACTGATGAATACATATGAAAACAACATTATGTTTGTAACGTCACCAGCCGGTTTCGATTTATGAGACACTGTCTACATTTATTGATCAATGCCAACCATCACTCTACAGTCCTCGCTCCTTTGTGCTTTCTGTTAATACCATTACCTGGTACATCCAATCATTGATAATTTTTATTTCAGGTAAATATCAAAGCTGTTGACATGGTCGGAGGTGTCAGTGACGGCGTTCAATTAATGCTCACCACAGATACACGTCCTCCTAATATAACGGGTATTTAGTTATACTATTACATTATTTAATGCTGTATGTCCGTTTTCATCGCACTACTAGATATAGTACTAGTGTCATTAGTTTTCATGATGGTTTAGTGACAGTCATCGTAATAATGATTGTGTCGGCGTCCCGTTTTTTTGCCATTACAGTTCCAGGAAAACAAATTGTCGGATTTTCTTCAAATTCGTACACTTTTTGATCATCTGATTTCAGGTAATCGTATTTCTCATAAATGGCTGGAAGAAACTACTGTTCGATTTTTGTGGGAAGGTGTATTCATATCCGACAGCGACCTTTATTACGAACTTACTATTGGTACAAATCCTGGCGGAAGTGACATCATGAAATGGGTTGAAACAAAGCAGACGTCATTCACACTTTATGCTGTAGATAATTCGCTTGAACATCATTTGACTGTGACTGCAATTAACGAAGCTGGGTTTTACACGTCGACCATTTTATCATTTAACTATGATAACTAAGATCATATTCTTTTTTAAAAGAGGCCATCGTAGTAATCAATCTATCACCTTGATCAAGTTATTCATTCGGTTTCAACATGTTTTTGTAAGAAATATAGACTATATATTTTTCAATGTCATGGATAAATATGACCGAAAAAAGACCTGATGTCTTAGAAATATGAAAAGACCTGGTGTAATGTATTGCAAACGAATTGAGAGAACTTTATTTTGAATTGAGAAGTATTGTTGGACTAAAATTTCTTATTTTAGATAAGAGCAAAATAATATTCAACTTTGGCAAAAAAAACAGTAAAAAATGTCTATTAGATCGATAAACGAATTAGCAGCTAATCTCCTCGATTTTTCAAAATGTTTTCCTCATTAGAAAATAGAGGATCTCAATTTTTTCTAATTTGAGGACAAAAGAACATGTAGATTGCAATAAAATGTAGCATTTATCTCACCATGCTTTTTATGCACTGTATTTGTTTCGTTATGACTCTTGACACTTTAATAAAATAGAAAATATAAATAGTAAACTTTTGAACCAAATAACAATTAGTAATGCGAGAATTCTTTTCATGAAATCTTTTTATACGATCCATCCATCATCAAATACTAAAGTTCCCTGTTTATCAATTTGCATATCCGCACCGAGTGTTTAGGGGTAGCACATATCCTATATGTTTCCCAAATTTTGATAAAATCACAGACACTATATGACATTCAAGATGCAAAAAGAATTTGTATAAACAGGATATCTTGATCTCCAAGGCAGAATAAAGGCAATTTCAAAATAAAGGGTGGACCAAAAATAACAATACCCAAGTTTAAAGATAAATATCATATTATATATGTTAACTCATGCAATGTATAAATATATCATTTTAAAGATAAATCATTTTCTCAAAATGTGAGACCATCTGATTGAAAACCTGTAGCTTTATTGAAGAGTTAGAGGCTAAAAATGACACCAGGGGTGTCATGAGCAACCAAAAAGGTATTCACTGCGGATTTCAAATTGTGGAAAATGTAGGGAAATTTGAACTTTGGCACCATCAAAAGATGTTCATTTATACAAGTTAAGTCAAATATTCACCAATATATCTTATCAATAAATATTGATTGTGTATTACTTTTGAATAAATTTATAAGGATTTAGTCAGGCATATTCAGTGTAGCTGTGACTGTAATACGGGTGTACATTTTTGAATTTTCATTTTCTGATTTTTTGTCACTAATGACACCCCTAGTGTCAGTTTGAGCCTGTAACTTCACAAGAAAACAAAAGTTTTTCAATCGGATGGTGTCATAATGTTAAGAACTGATTTATCTTTAAAATAATATACAATACATGACATGGTTTAAGATAAACCATATGAATCATTCATCTTTACATTTGGGTATTTTTTAGCCCACCCTGTATATGCATTGGGGAGGGGTTTACTTACTCACTATAAAATGAGGAAGATAATTTATTTAATTTCCTTTTCATCCGATATCCACCTCACATATATCAATATAAAACTGATTATTCCAACATGGCTTAGTTTATGAAATATCGCGAATTCAGAACTACTTACTTTCGTTTGACACCAAAAACATCTCAAACTAGCCATATTGCAGTTTGCAATCAAAAACGACTTGTATTCTCTAACCTGTCAAATTTTTTCGAACCCCGACCAGATGGTGAGAGTATAGGTCATTCACTTAAATATGGTCTCGGCATTTCCTGGTAAAATGCTTCCGCTGCTCAATAATGTTCAGTCTCGTGTGACTTTTCGGATTCATTAGTATCATATCACAATGACCAATAACCGATGGTTTTATGGTACCCCATGATATACAATTAGTCATCATTTGATAATATGTTGTTTCCCCTTTTAGAAGGAAGATACGATCCCATTGTGGAAAACAGATTATAAATTGTAAATAAATGACTAAGTTTAAACTCAGTTTGCGTAACAATGGCGCGTTTGATATATATCGTCCTACCGTTGACAATTGCGATGGGAGCCGATAATCACCTACATGAACTGTCCGATGTTTGCAAGGATTCAAAGTATTGCAAATGTGTACGTATACAGTTATCAAAGTGAAAATAATGAGCATGGTTTGTTGACAAATATACCAATAAATGACTTATCACCCAACATCTCAAGACTGGATTTTGGATTTAACTTACTAGAAAAGTCAATGGGTGGACCATCAAACGAAACACTTTTTATATATGTATTATCCAAACTTAAAACATTTAAGCCAAGTTGGAAACTACATACATCGGATCGAATATAGTTTTTGGGGCTACAAGAAATCAAACTAAGAATAAAGCCAATTGAAATTGGAGACAGGCAAGTTTGATATATTCACAGATTCTACTGAAATAAGGCATTCGAATATGTCTACCATTCCATACAATACGTGGAACTAAAGCTATAGAACTTCTCATTCTTGCATTAAATAGTCTGAAAAGTTCTAAAGTAGAGGTCTTAGATTTTAGTAAAACATAAAGAGGACAAGGGGGTCCAGTCTTCAGCTTGAACATGTCCTTTCTATTATTACAGTTGAAACCGACTTCTATCAACGAAATAGATTATTAGGCAAATAATAGAATCGACGTGTTTTATTCCCAGGCATATAAACATTGTGTAACAAACTATACTAAACAGAATATATGTAATTGATTGATTAAATGAGTTGAGTGAACTGGAATATCTAAGAAATTCTCCATCTAAAATGTCACTCGACTTTTTTGTGATTATGAGTCAAAGAAAGCATGCTTGAGTTTCAAATTGACTTCTGTGGTAACTTGAAACCATCTTCTAATTTATTCCACTTACCTTTTATTGTTTCTCCAAATATATTCTTTGAAAATCGGATTTTAAGGGTGTTAATCAGGGTAATTCTGTGCCATTTTATCAAAAATCTTGTTGCTATCTAGAAACGAGCAATTGTGATCTTGTTGTTACCTAGGAACGAGCAACTGTGATGTCACGTCACACTCATGTTAATTCTGGAATCACATGGCAGCCATTTTGAAAATTTCAAAAAAGTTCCCAATTAAAAAGGCTAAATGCTGTTTACAAATTGGAAACTATGGCAGAATCAACAAAGGGTTTGTGAAATAATTAGGATATGGTTTCAAAATTATGCACATGACAATATATGACTACTAAATGCAGGCAGGGACTTTTAATTGCCAAAAAGTCGAGTGACATTTTAGATGGAGAAATTTTTAGAAGAGTTTTAAAGCAGATATGAAATGGTATTTTTAACCTAAAGGAATCAATATAATTATTTGATAAATGTATTTGGACATGTTTTCTCATTAGAAGTGCGAAAACTATTTCACTCTAACGATCGTTATAGCTGCTTAATAAGCAATATTCGAATTGGTTGTGACGTTATTGGCCCCCACGTGATCTCTCACTGGTCCCCACGTGGCAAATAACGTCATAATGCCAAAATGTTTTGTTTTGGTTTACACTACAATCCTATGGTTGCCGTGACGTTGTGATTCCTAAGGAACCAATAAACCAAAGCTATATTTTGTATATGACGTTACTTATCACGTGGGGGCCAATTTGATTGATCGGTTAGTTTTATTTCGTTATTCATGACCGTTAGCAATTATCTAACATTTATTTTTTTAATGGCTATCGCAAGAACTCTACGTTGGGCTTACAATGGAGAAAACCGCATTTTTGTAGCTGCAAGTTGAGAAAAGCTATTTCAGTTGTCCTTTAATTGTTGAACACAAGGACCTTTTTCTACACTCCGCCCCTGGTCATTATTCAACTTGATGATTTCCACAAGTTTAAGGCCAAGCAGGTTGAAGGCATTGAACATTTGAACATTTGGGCATTTATTAACATTTGCGCCAATCAAATCAGCGCCATGCTTAAAGAACTCACGTTGTAAGCAAATATCCCCTTATCTTACTCATTTCACCGTTTTATTGTATGTAATGTACATATTGTAATTTAATAACTTGTATTTGTATTAATATGCTCTCCAAATTGGAGGAAATAAAGGATCATATCATATCAAATCATATCATATCATTCAAATAGAAAAAGACATTCAAATTGATATGACCCGTTAACTGGAATTGCTAGAACTAAGAAATATCACGTTTAATTACTCCGAAATACCATTTTATACAACATGGCAATTTGAAGTATCCCTTCAAGGATGTACTTTTTATGCCCCTTTCATAATGGGCATTATTTGAGAGTATTGGATTTGTTGGGACCACATTCAAAATAATCGATGGTGATCGTTACATAGAACCGTCTGTTAATGGCGGTAAACACGATACAAATATAATGTCATAGTCCGCAACGAATATTGCATATTCACTTGCGGTGTATGACAGATTCACCTGCGGTATATGGTATACTCACTAACCAATGAGAACGCAATACGCATACGAAGTACGCAATTGTCAATTGCATCTATTGAAATAACTGGTAAAAGTTTATAAATCATTATGTAATGTTTACTGAATCAACAGTACAGTGCATTGAATATATCAAGAAATGCAGAAGTATCACCCAGCAATATCACGTAACAAGCTTACTCAATAAATCCAGAGTCGATTCTTGCTACCAATCAAATCAAGGCTCTCTGTATCACGTTTTCACCTGCGGTATATGTCATACTCACCTGCGGTATATGCAGGTGAGTATCGGGTATTCACTGAAGTCTATGTATCTCACAAGCGGAATGTACCATGACCGCAGGTGAGTATGGCATATTCACCCGTATAACAAATACCGCGCAACCATGGATATATGCCATATTCCGCGTAACACCGTCTGTATGAACATGTTCGACAGGAACTTTTGAATCAATGAAAATTATTAAGCTGCAAGGCGGGTTTAGTTCAATACAAGTTGGCAATTCAGGCATAATCCCTATCCGTTTGTGTCTATTCTACCGATCTAGGGATATTTTCCCCTAAGATAATAAGATAATAGATAGTGACTATAATTCTATGAAACACTTAAATGCGAGTTAACCTCAAGAAAAAAGGATTTATCAGATAATAAGTTCATTCTAAAAAACATTAGCTGGGTATGGACGACGATCATCAAATGCATTGGGAGATATAAGTGTTAGAATTAATTTTGAGGTACTGATCTTCATGTGGTTTATGGAAGTCGCCATTACCTGGACTTAAGTAGCTTTGAATATTCATGAGTCGCGT